AACCTCCAAGAAAAATCCAGTTCAATGTCAGTGTTAACAGCAGCAAAGAAAGAGCTTTTTATCCGTTTACCAATCAAAGTGGCCGGGGCTACCGAACGTCTAATCAGAAGCCTTTCGGCCGCGGTAAAGGCGACCTTCCCAGCAGCCTCGTTGAATTGCGATTTTTGCAACGGAACCAGTCATTCGTTCACAAAACAAGGACAAGATGTCGAGGCTGACCGCCTGGATGCTAATGCATCCATTCATGTGCACCTGCGGCGCAACCTATATTGCTCGAAGGACGCGGCAGTTATCCAAACGCGTGAACGAACATTGCGTCAAGGGGGTGCCGGGACCATTAGTAGCGCCATTCTGGTCCACATTTTGGACACGGACCATGAGGTGGATTGGAAGCGCTCTTTCCGAATAGTTTACAATGTTCCGCCCCACCGGGCTAAAGGTTACTGCCTTCGTAAACTTGCGACAGGTGAAACAATCCGCATTTGATTGTTCCAGTCGTCCTTATGCTCACAGAAGAAGAGGCTCTCCAACTTCCCTGGTCAGCGAAGACGGAAGACGCCCAGGTCGATTGCCTTCGGTCAGACGCGGTAGCAAATAACTAGCACACCAAGACCTGATTCGTTTTCTCAACTCTAACATAGACGTTCACCTGAACTAGTCATGTTGAAATAACTGGGTCGATTTTTGTTTTTAGCTTCCAAATGATTGTAATGGTCTGCTGATGAATCACTGAAAGCATTTGCTCACCAGGGGATCTTTCGTTCTCGAGACTAAAATGGGAAGTTACAATTTACTTGAATCTATCGTTGCCGATGCGTTGGTGCTTTAGCTAGAAAGTTTTAATATCATTGCGCCCGAACAACACGGCCTTTGTCGGCAGCCATCATGCACAACGAATTGATTAATCGTACGGCGTAGTTGGACCGAAGTAGCCGACGCAGGAGAGGTTGTTGATGTGATCTGCTTGGAATAGTCAAAAGCATTCGATCGTCTAGATCATCTGCTTCTCCTTTTCATGCTCCAGTATTGCGCATCCGTGACCTTCTCTTGAGCCAGTTCACGAACCTTCCCCTAAGGGAAATTAGTGGTTAGAGTCTAGAGTTCATTAGTCAACCCCACACCAGTCAAGAGTGGAGTACCTCAGGGCTCGGTTGTAGGGCCGCGATTGTTTCTGGTGTTTGGTACTGACCTTGAAAAGACAGTCGCTTCAAATTTCGTGCTATTTGCTGACCACGTCAATATATGGTGCGGATTCAGGCGGATACGAATCAGAATTTACTTCGGTGTGACCTAGGTATACTACATCGGTGGTCAGCCTATCATCTGCTAATGTTCAACGTGAGCAAATGCAAGGCGTTATCTATACAACACCAGAGTACCTATTTACACAGGCCGGGAACGCAAGTACTGCAGCGGTCATTCGTTGAAGGCGACCTTGGCGTGCTGGTTCGAGTTATGGTGGGTTGGTACCTGCAGCCCGCAAAGGCATTGCAAATTGGTAATCAACATATCGGTCTGTTCCGACGAGTGTTCAAACAAGTAGACAATTCCATTTTCAGACAGATGCTCAGCATGTATGCTCGCCATAATATCGAAAGCGTAGCTCAAACCTGACAGGCATGGATGAAGCACGACGTCACTGCACTGGACCAACCTCTACGGCGGGCTTCCAAATACTTCATTGTAATGCGCCACCTTCCATAGCAGCAGAAGTAGAAACGTCTGGTAGTATTCAGCGGACGGTATCGCCAATTACGTGGTGACTTCATAATGGCAAATTTGATTTAACGAAATCTAAATCATGTATGCGGCTGTTTAGTGCGACTCAGTATTAACGCCAAACGTAGAGGCCACTTCTTGCAATTAGCAGGACAACACAGCCGCCTGGAATGCCATAGAAATTTGTTTTCGCCTGTGTCAACCATGAAACCTTTTCTGAAAGCCTTTACGTCTCCAGTGGTGTATCACAAGGATCCGTCCTCTGCCCACTACTGTTTTCAGTCTACATTAATGACCTTCCAGCAGACATTCTATCTCCAGTGCAACTATTTGCAGACGATGCAAAAATATGGAGACCTATTCGCTCAGCATCCGACCGTGTCTACCTCCAGGAAGATCTGACCCGGATTAACGAATGGTCAGAAAAGAACCAGCTCCCACTGAACCCTGCAAAGTGCCACCTGATGACGGTGCACAACAGCTTCGTCAACACATACCTTTTGGAGCAACACGTCATGCAACACGTGACTAATGAACGCGACCTAGGTATAATCGTGCAAGAGAATCTTGTAAATTCGCTCCAATGTTCGAAAGCAGCAAGTGTGGCGAACTTGAACTTGAGACTTTTGAGGCGAGCTCTCGGGACTTTTGAGCAACAACTGGTACCATTGTTGATTAACTCCTACATTCGTCCTCATGCTGAATATGCAATTCAGGCCTGGTGTCCATGGTTAAAACGAGACATCCGCCTCTTGGAACAGCCCCAAAGAAAAGCCACAAAAGCAACGCGTGAATTATCCGGTATAAGTTACGAAATGCGTGTTCGTGTATTCGGTGTGTTCTCATTAGAATACCGACGGCTTCGCGGAGATCTTACTCTCACATACCGGATACTAACCGAAAGCCAGCATCCATGCACATCACTGTTGACTCTAGCCCCATACAAACAAAACCGAGACAACCACCTGAAACTAATGACGCAACACTCTCCTTTGAATTGTAGAAGGTATTTTTTCTCACTTAGAATCTGTTCTCACTGGGATGCATTACCCAACTATGTGGTGAACATACCAGACATGACGACATTCGAAAGACTCTTAGATTTCCATCTTAGTGATATACGATACACAACACTTTGTTGAAGTGCAATGATTTAACCACGGATACTTTACATTCCACGTTGGAACATTTTGCTTTTAATTTTCCTTTGCATATCCATCCTGTGGGTCTTGTAAAGTTATGCTTTTGATCCCATCATACACCATTGAATCATGAAACCTTCTCCCTTACTCGGTTGTTTGTACCTACACTAGCCATATTTACAGGTCGTTTGGATGACACACTTCACCACTTACATTTTTTTACTTGACACTACTCCCCATCCCACGCATGGGAAATACATGGGATGTTATTTTTCGCCTACTGAAGCTATGGCAATATTCGGAATGCATGGCTACAATAATTTCGTTTCTTTGACAGTAGAACTACTAACTGCATATTTTCATTAACTTTTTTTCGATAGCCTACCAGATTAACCTACCATGCTTATGAAGCAGTACTTCTTAACCCGTATAAATTCATTGTTCAATGTAACTGGGCAGAAGCCTAATCAAATCTTGCCTACGCGCTTTCTAGGATTGTACAGGACAGAGGGCCAGCACAAAATTGACGCGGCTTGGCATTAAACTAAGCGTAACCTGCCTCCGTGCGGAATAGTTGTGGATTGGACAGATCACAGTAGATAAACGGTGCGTGCGATCGATGAATTTAGGCAAACGACATGGGACGTGACAACGGACAATAACTGGTGAAGAGCAACCACCTTGAGGTAGCACTTTGAATTTACGCGCAGTTTGGATGATCCTATGGTTTATAAATACAGTCTTTTTATTACTGCCGCGATGTTGCATTGACTCTTTGAAGTCTATTAGGTACGCAACACGAAATGCACGTAGTGTCTGACAAACTTGATATTCTCAGTGCGTTTTCGATTTGCTAAAGGATACCATCATTTTTAGAGGTGCGCTAGTTTGACTAAAGGCGCTAGTCGGATGAAAATGAACAATGATTTATAACGGGTAAAAAAGCAGGTGCTTGACATGTCCCGTAGCTTGTTTAGAGTGCCAAAAAAGATAGAGCAAGGGATAATGGAGTCGTCAGTTCGGGCGATTACAGATTTAACTGCATTACCGTATCAAGGGAGTTTGAAATGAGAATATACGCGCACAAAGCAGTAAGGGGAGTGGTTAATGATCACGTAATAGGCGAGAAAAAATAGCAAGGACAACGCCGACTCGTGTGCAACCATCTTAGGTCGACGGGATACAGAAATCCAGTTTCTATGGTAGTAGCGTTTATCAAATTTCGTGTAAGGGGTTTGGAGTGATTCATTCTCGAGTAGGGTTATGGCACTGTCCACTATCTGTTGTGCATTAGTGCCAGCATCAGGTGGTCAAGAGCTATAGCACGTAATGTAAATGTGACAGAGTATCGTCAAGGCGTTTTTTGAAAAGGGATAGGGTGGGTGCATTAATTACAAGTTCCGGGAGGGTGTTCCAAGGCTGTGACACTCGAAGGAAGAAATAGTTTCGCCGAGATTCCAGACGGCTGTACTGGATGATCAGCTTAAACAGGTGACCTCTTAGCGAGGTGTTTTGATTGAGTGTTAGAAGCAAATGGCATGGGTGGTTGGGGTTTCTCAGGATCAGGTACACCCTTATGAGATCGCCCCTTAGACACAGGTAACGTCTCAACATGAAGCCAAAGGGACCAGTGGTGTAGTGTTGTCACCTTAAAGAATTTCTAGCGAACCATGCATCCGATAAATGTTATCCTTCATGATTGCTCCATGGTACGAAGAGGACTGTGATCATTGCAAGATCAAGTACAAACATATTCACATAGGCTAGTGTTCGGACCTGCCACTTGTATGGTAAATTATTCCACAACAGATGGGCCCTAAACATCTTCTACAGCGTACCGCGATAGACTGGAACAGAGGAATTCGGTTTTGAAAGCATAGCGATATGTATGTGACTTCAAGCTAGGCACATCATTAAACATACATAAACATTCGTGTCTTGATCGCCAGTTTCAGCAATTCTAAATCATTGGTCTTGTTCATTGACACCAGAAAAAGTGCGTCCATCACATAAGTACATGCCACAGCTAATAAGTTAGGTGTCAAATAGTAGACTAACAAGATAACGACATTGTACTGCGATCAGTGGGGTTAAGCCAACAGCACACGGCCACTCAAACGAGATCAACAATACGCTTACAAGCTATTCCTGGCTGCATATTCTGCATTGTTGAGGTAACAGCGTCCTTGAACTGAAAAACAAAGGTAGGAAGCATATTGGATTTAAATCATGTCAGGTGAGCTGTTGTATTCGTGGTATTCGAATTTTTCAGACAGCGTGAGCACGACTTCTATATACGAAATTGTTTGTGTGCTTAGATCCAATGAGATGGTCAGTCTAACAACAGGATACTTGCTTTGATCGTTTAGCCTTATTTATTTCCCTTAGTTGCTTTCTGCACATCTGTAGCGTCACGTGGAAGCTCCACTTCGAGCTTAACTGTTGTGATAGAATCGAAATCGCACGTGTTAGTAGCTTTCACAGTTTGGCAAAAGGCTTATACCAATTGCCATACGAACAGCGAGTAAGATAGATCGACGTTTCTAGCGGATTTCATCGGTATTCGCTTGATTGCATTAATCTGTTTTATCAGATTTTGAGCAACCCCAATCGTATGTACTCTTCTCTGTAAAGCTCAGTAGTACCAGCAGCATGAGAGGTCACCGACTCATGCTAGCGAATAATACAGGCAGCTGAATGGTATGCGGAATCCCTCACTGTATGCTTGCCATACATACGTTTCCGTCTCAGAAGCAGTTATTTCAGCGCCTACATCAGTCATGTTCAGAGATTGTATCGACTGGGCTCTGACAACAATATATGGTTGGCCATTCACGATTACTGAATTTCCTGTCACCGCGGGCTCCATAGGACAGGCACAGGAAGCCTACGCCTGCAGAGGGACCATGGGTGGATTACACTGCACCACCCCACAGCTCCATCCACACATCTTATATCCAGTGTGAACGCGTAGGAATGTGTCCGGTATAAACATGGCTAGGTGCCACGTTTCATCTACGGAGTCAACCGACACTCCTTCAACATGCACAGCAGCAGCATTACTGTCTGCTTACTTTGGGCATCATGTTTACCAGCGGTGGTGGCTGGGCCGTAGTGCGTTCCACACTGCATAGAACCACCCTCTGAGCCTGATACCGTCACGAGGACCGTGCACCAGATCTCCCCAAACAACGACCAAGTGTCCCCTGGAGCCAGTATAATCGAGGTAGCAGCTTGTAGACAGGTATTTACCTTATCAACATTCAAATAAAGAGTATCCACACCGGGGCTAACAAACAACTTACAGAGAAGTTGAAGAAAGATAAATACGCAGATTTGACAGGGATAACAGAACTGTGCAACTAGATTAAAGTGGAATAATATATACAGATCAAGAAGATCTAGTTTAAATGTTAGTTTGATTCGGTGTAGCTCAACTCTGGTAAAGAAACATGTTGTGTGCAACATCAACCTCAACTTGGACCACTGGGCAGCAACAAATCATCTAGCCAGCAGCACCCATACGATGAGCAATAAAACATTGGTGTAGCACGGTTAAAGAAAAACAAATGCTTAGCCCGTCAGTAAACAACACGTCAGCCCACATACTTTTGCCACGAAAATCAAAGATGACCTTTGGAACTCCTTGAAAAGGTATGTGAACCATGTGGTTGGACAAAATTTGATCAGCGTGTTCATTGTTTTCTTTTCTTTTAATGTTCATAGTGTTTTCTTTTATTTTTGGGATCCCTACAAGGACGCAATTTAGGCCACAGTCTCTTTTAACTGCAATATACCATTGTCACTAGTATACGGAAGTGCCAACCACCAACTTAGAAAATCTCAGAAAATTTAAAAATAAAATCCCCGTGATACCTCCGAAGGTGCGTCATACGTGATAACGAGGAAGCTGGCCTTTATTCTGTGAATGGACCAACCATCAGTATGGATCAGTGGGATTCTTCTGTACTCACGGCCTATAACGTGACTGTAGAGAACACAAGTTATGCTTGAACTGCACGTGGTTGAACCGGTTCGATAGCATTTTTGTCACTGACAAAGAACAAAAATGATAAGCATTTACAAACACCAAAAATTCCAAAACATTGCAACGTACCATCCGCGCAATATTATTGATCCAACTGCTGTGAGAGGGTGGAGAAGGGAAACAGTGTGGATTGATTCGCGGGAAACACAACAGGTGAAATTTCATTTCCCTTTGGCTAAATGCGTATTGATGAACTGGAGCTGCTAGACTGTAAACGTTGCACCTTGTGCAGTCCATGTGGCTGGCTAAGGAAATCTTTGTACTCTACATACACTCGTTTTTAAATAAATAAATTGTTTACTCTGGATAGAGCGAGGCCTCCATGTGTAACCATGATCATGGTAAAACGACCACCAATGATAGGAAAGTGTACAAACTGGTAAGTTTGCCGGTAACATATCTGAGTGGAACAACTTCTATTACACCGCGTCATCGACCATAAGGCTCTTAATCCGAATGGCTCACCAACGCCACAGCTGTAAGGGGTGCCAAAGAAGCAAGAGAAAGGATGTCATTCTGACCAGTTTGAACAATTGAATATTCTCTGCACCAAAAATTGGCACGTCGCTTGGTAAGAATATTAGCCCACTTAGAAAAAAATTCAACCTACAAGTCCTTAAGGATTTCATCGAACTCATTGAAAATCTTGATCAAATCACCCTAGCTAACAAGGATATGTACTCTGTGGCCGTTCAGTAGTCGTTTACAAATGTCCACTTGATCGACACAGTCGACTACGTATGGCAGTTGGTTGATGTGGAAAACGTCCGTATTCAAATACTGACAGAAGTATTTAGATAGTCTCTGCTTCTCTGACCAGAAAACGTTGGATTCCGTTTCCAACAAGCCTCATACCATCAAATCGATGGAGAAGTTAAGGGCAGTCCGTTGAGCCCTTTACTAACCGACGTTTTCATGATATGTCGATGACATACCCATGTTCGGTTCTCCGAGAATGCAAATTGAGCGCTTGCTATACCAGCTAAATAGAGTCCTTGTTAACATAAAAGTGGCTCATGAATTCGAGATGAACGACCTTCTGCCGTGGTCGGGTCAGTATCTACACTGTACCAATTTCACACTAATAGTCCACACGCGTGCACTGACGAAAGCATTGTTCACTCGTGCTAGACGTATTCGCTCGAGCGATTGTCTGGCTGAGGATATGGAAACAATGACCAGAAAACGGTTACCATAGACGTTTCGTCTAGAACCTTAGCTGTCAGACCGCCAAAGGAATAGGTATTGATTGCACCTAAGAAAAAGTTATACCTCGAGTTCCAATTTAAGGGTAACACCGTCAAAAAGAGGATCACCAAGCGTTTACTCTCTACCATTCAGTTAGCATACTGTGCTGCAGATGCCGTGACGATCAAGAGAATCCAGAACTGTCGCTACCCACAGTAAAAGAAGAACAACCAATCGGCGTCAAATCACACTGGGTTTACCAATGTGATTGGAACTGCGACGTCCGCCCAATATTCCGTGTGCACGCAAGCCGCCAATATCACAAATAGCCGGATAAGTTTTGGTGACCCGTAATGGGATTGACTCCAACTCCGCATTTCGCAAACATGTACACCATCCCAATTCATGTTCCGTGCGGTTCGCCCAGGCCGTATAGAAAAGCCAGCTAAGAACAGTCCTATGGGTTCAAAAATAATCAGTTATTGACCTTCGTTTGCCCTGGTTCTAAGATAATCCCCGCTGTTCAACTCAAAACGCCTCATTCGTTGATTGGTTGGCCGTATGCGGTATCGCATTTGCCTGCCATTGTGGACACCTGCGCCCACAGAACGACCATAGATGACTCGCGCTGCACCACCCACAGCTCCAATCACCAACCCCATATCCAGTATAAATCCGATGCGATAAGACCGGTAGGCATGCTGATGGGAGCCACGTTTCATCAAAGGAGCAGAAAAATGAAAATGAAATGTGTCAGCTTATACGCCGTGACGGCGCTTCGCTGCCGCGCGACCACCACCAGTCGCGCGCGGGCTGAGTATACCGCGAGGACGCCCACCCCTCCGCGGATTCGAACCGATGACCTTATGGTTGCAAAGCAAACGTGCAGACCACTCGGCCACCGGCCCACACTCCTACCCAGGCAAAAACAAGCACGCTGTATTTGGGAATCATGCGCACACAAAGCGGTGGTTGGACCGTAGTTGGCTCCACACTGAGTGCATGGAATCACTCTTGGAGCCTAGCACGGCCACAAGGACCGTGCACCCCGTCCCCTCCAGCAACGACCATCTGTCTCCTGGAGCCAGTATGGACGAGGTAGTGTGTAAAAGACAGGTAGACACCTTGTCAATATGCACCTCAGGCGCAGTCACACCGTGGATATTAAATAAAAGCCAACCACTTAAAACGACGATATCAAATATAACAAATCGTATACATAGTACGGAATTATCGATAAATTAGCAAATGTAATAAGTGGATTATCAAAATAGCCCCGAAAGATTTAGAGTGGCAAAAAAGCGGATCACTACACAAATGTGGGAAGGCGCAAAAATAAAACGAATTTAACCACCATTACTTTTAGCGTAATGTGCCATTTATTAGATTATTCAGGTACACATTTTACTACTATAACCAAATAAAAATTGGACAAGGTGTCATGCCCCCACCTGAAATAAAGAGATTCAGCATGCAAGCACGCGGTTAGTAAATGGAATGCAGCGTACCTACCAACTCCGCGCCGGTTCTGCCTACGTTCTCAGCAGCCCCCGTCGTCGTTTCGGTGTTGGCCCCAAATGGCATCGCTCATGGCTCACGAGGCCAGCCTGATTCATGCACTCACGACCGCATGTGCTACAGTAGCATGCGCTCGATATCGATAGAGTACCATCCAGCGGCGACTGGCGCTTCCGCACTTGCCGCTTCTTCTCTGCATGCAAGAGGGCTATCTCCTGCACCTCGGCAACTGCCTTCGTGATAAGATCGCGCCATCCACAGCGATCAACCGCTTTTGATTCTCATAACCTGTGATCAAGATTAGAACGTGACAGGCTCACTTTGAGCATATACTGGTGACGAAGCTTCGGTTTCCCCACACGCTGCTTCCCCAAACTCAGCTGACCATGTAATAGCTGCTTCGGTATCCGCGCCGGTTCCATACGCAGACATGGCCGATCCACCGCAAGTATCTCAGCAAAAGTATGGAGTCCAGTGCATACATTCCACTTCGGCGCAACATCACTATGTCTGCAACTCTGTCCCACGAACCGATGGGCAGAATCCGTCGCAAATACTGTTGATGAGACCGCTCGAGATATCGCACATTCTGCCGGTACATCGTTCAGGTTTCACTGCCGTATAGTAGAATGGACAGCACCATGGATTTGCACATCATCAGCTTCGTGCCGACGGTAAGCTGGTGGTTGTTCCACACTCGGTACGCAAGCTTCCCGGATGGCGCTGCTGAGTTCGACACGCGAATACGCAACTCAACTTGTAGCTGCTGATCAGTTGACATCACACTCCCAAGGTAGCAGAAGTGGGAGGTGGTTTCCAATACTTTAGCACCAATGCTGATTCGCGGCAATATCGAAGATTGCACCTCCGGTGAAGGCTGAAATAATCAGACCGTTTTGCTTGTGCTGTTGGTGAGCCCGAATTTGGCCGCTATCGAAGCCAGAGCACTAGTCACGTGCTGCAACTCATCCGCGCTGTGTGCAAACAACGCACAGTCGTCAGCGGACAGCAACGTACGGATAGTTGTCTCACAAACTAGTCTTCTTGACCGAAACATCCTATGGGAAACATACGGGTGTGCAACATTCTACGAGGAGAAAACACATTTGAGTCCTTCAAATATGGAGTGTTACGGGCTTTAAATATTCTCTGAAAACACATGTGTGATCTGGTTTATTTTCCTCCTTCCTTTTACTTCAGACCATATTGACAAATATAAGAGGTGCTGCACCTTAAACAATCTAATCTCTTGGAATGGGCAGCCAAGTTATCATACACCCTCTCGAGCCTAACAATAATACCGCCTCTTCCTCTTTTATTTCGCTTGCTTCGACTTTCTTCTTCCCCATCTGTTAAGAAAGTGACCGACACTGACCACGTAGTTGCAATCATCGCTATTACTTTTTCCTCGGACTCGCTTGCTGGGTTCTTACTTCCACAAACTCTCATGCGCCTCTATTATTCAGTGTCTCTTGTTGTTGGTTAGTTCCAACCTGTTTTAATCGTTTTACTTCTATGACTACGGTATCCTGTCTAAGTGAAACAGATTTCTTACGTATACAGCGGTTCGAGGTGAGTCCACCACAACGCATTTCACTTTATTATGCAATTTATTTTCACAATAATTTCCATCCCACGGGACTTGTTAAGCGATGCTTTTTCACCCGTAATAAACCATTGTCCATTGTCCATTGTGGGCAATGTCGGTCAATTTGTTTCTAAACCAAACAACACTCTCAGGACTGGATGGTTGAAGTTCCTTAAATTGATCAACAAAGTTCTCAAACTGAGCTTCTATAAACAACCCGTTTAGTCTTCTAGGAGGAATTTTGTTATCAAGCCCATATGACAAAACTTCTAACTGCAAAGCGTCTAGTTGTACGTCTGATAAATTCCCCACGTACTTGGGATCACGAACGATTTGCTCCTCATCCTGGCTGTTCGTAAGCGAGTTCTCCAACCGAGTATTCCGATTTCGCCTCGTACGGTCGAGAGTGGGTTTGCTAATGTTAGCGAACACAACACGACAACACAAAGATAGATCCTCTACCACATGGAGTAGGCGTGCGTGAGTTTCCTGTAAACTCAGAAGTTTGGACTCGGCCGTCTCCAAGTGAGCAGATGCCACACGTTTGAGGTTAGCCACAGATGGTTTAAGTTTATTTCTACGCAGCAGTGTGAGAACCGATCGGGGGTATCTACGCATATCATCTACGTATAATATTTAATACTCTCCATCGAAAGATGTTGCATGGTATCTAGATTACGTATCAGAAGCCCTCAATTAATCGAAAATATAGTTGTTAAAAATTAATGAGTACGGCGTCCTGTACACAATTTCATATTACCTGACTGCTCGCCAACTTAGTCGTCATTGGTGATAGGTTGCTCTTTACCGATTTCTTTCCCTGGCTAACATAGCAGCAGGGCACAGCGTATGCATCAGCACCGGTGGTAACACTGCAAACGGCTGTAAAAGTTTATCTTTTTGCCTTAAACCATTCACTTATTTTAGCCTGCTGCAGAACTCTCAGCTACTCTATTGCTCGCTTAAATCTAGGCGGATAGGCAAGCCTATCGATTTATAAATTTTATTGAGACCCAAGTGTTTGTTTCTCAGGTAAAGACTAATTTGGTTCACTTACTGGAGATTACGTTCGTTTCTGCACATGAAAAAACTAAATTGTGTGTCCAGTTTCGGTTCGTGTGGTACAGCAAACATTTTCGGAAAATCTTCTTCCTTTATCCCGCTTGGTATTCGGGGAAGCCGTAGCAACACATCACCATAAGCGAAGTAGGTTGCCAGTTCCTACTCGGCATGCGATTGGCTGTTGGATGAACCGGAGGTTACCTTCAAATCGACCGCGTGAGTCATTTTTCGACTATCATCTCTGTCTGACCATTGGAAACTTCCAGATGCATAGAGCCTACAATGCACTTCTTGCCAACAACGACGCTCATCTAAGAAACGAAAGACAAATAGAGTAGTAAACAAGCTTCAGCCGGTTACTCACTGTTCCACAAGTTAATCTTTTCACTTCTCAAGACATGTGTACTTTTACGGCTGATTGTCCTTCGTACGTACATCGATATCCTGCGACAGCAGCCACAATGGAATGCGAAACCGAATGACTCAGGGAGGTATTCTCGTCAGAAGAATTAGCGATTTTTCACAACCAAACCTGTTTCCCTTCTGTGTTCAACATACTTCAAAAAGTGCTGCTGATAATAATCTAAAAAAAAGAAAATTTAATGACCATGCTTTGTGCGACTTTGAACACAAGGGTGTTACCTAAATATCGGTGTGAAATAGTGTAAGGACACCGTGCTGAATTAAGTGCGTAGGACGATGCATAAGCGTTCACCTTCTCTTAGGTGAACCTCGATAGCAGATTGCCGTGTTGAATCCGCGAAGGAAGTGGGTGAGACATCCACTTGTTAACGTTATCCGAGAAGTGGTACATTCTTTTCAATGGCGAATCGTCGAGTTCGGTCCAGGTGAATCAAAGCTTCACCAAAGTCAGACGACTCTATATATTGGAATATGTTTGGAACCGACTGTGATTTCATGATTTCAGAAGGTTTTGTATACAAATCGGTTTTTGGTAGAGTTTTATTGTGGCAACGTTTCGCCCTTGACACAAGAGCTTCTTCAGGCCAGGTCTGGCCTGAAGAAGCTCTTGTGTCAAGGGCGAAACGTTGCCACAATAAAACTCTACCAAAAACCGATTTGTATACAAAACCTTCTGAAAGTCAGACGACGTTCATTTAACGTCGCTCGATTGTGATCATGCTGCGTCCCATACAAATTGTTTGTAGAGCTCATCACAATGTGCATTCTACCGCACTGGAATTATTGCTAGTTTGTGATTTTTCCAGACCTACTGTGTAAGCATTACAAGCGGCTTGACAGGTCACTGAAGCCCTGGTCTCGCTGAAGTGGCATTCCAAAAGCAAATTTGGTTAAAGTCATATGTATATACTCAAGTGAATTTATGCACTAAACTTTACTTCTGAAATACCGACATTAGTCACCCTAGTCACACTGCACTCTCCAACTGTATATCTACCTTATCGACCAGACAGAAGTACAGAACAACACATGCCTGCACGACTGTTTGTGGTTCATCGGTCAAACCCTACATAGCGATATTTCTATTCTATCAAAACTCAGTCATCCAAGCAATGAACGGTAAATTTCACCGAGGTGGTTATGCTTTTCATTCAGTTTCTTTTGCCGTTGTTCTGCCGCTTTTAAATTATTTTTTTATCATATCGGTAGCCTGTGTGTCACAGCCGAAAATTCATCCGTCATGTGTTGAAAGTGATCAATAATGTAGCTGCATGACTCAAAGGATTCTTAGATAGGCAAACATTTTTGTGTTGTAATTAATGTCGTTTCTTGGTACTTACACGGCGCTCTTCATTATGCCCCATCTGTTCCGGTGCATTGTTAGTCAGGCAACCCCTTAACCTGTTGCCTACTCCAATACAAGTTCATTAGTATGGAATATGCTCTGAATACCGTCCTTCCACTAACCGAATCAAAAGTACCCTGGTAAAGCTTATAGGTGGTCACCTTAGATCTGAGCGCGAATTTGGTAATCTGCCCCTGTAGTGACATCGCCTCATCTCATCGGTATACCTGACCAAATTAGTGATTGTGGGGAAGGGCACGAGCACTATTCCGCGAACAGTGAAGATCCAATTTGTAGGCACTTAAGCTTTCGTCGAGCGCTATAATTGCGATCCTATTGTGTTGCCGCATCCGGTGGGATCCTACTACTACTAGGGACTCTCATATTGCTTATTGCTGCTCCAGGTTAGACTGCTTGACGACCCGCTAAAAGCTGATGCTTCTGTCTCAAGGACAAAGTTTCTGGATTTGTCCTTCTCTTATGCTGTCGCTGCCGTTGACTATTTTTTACGGATTCCGAACAGGTAACGAACATCACGTGGTAGGGTGGATGGTGAATTAAAATGCATATTTCCGTTGGTTTCAACATGTTAGCTGGTTTGGAGCCGGAAGTGCACTGGTTGCAGGGGACCGATGGTCCTTGACCTACGGGATTTTTACCAGCCATGTTCTCATACATATTGGCTGTCTGCACTTTTCCCCACAATCATTATATCGTGGCCTAGGCACCTGCTGCTTAATTGCAGATTATCTCTAGTGACCGATGTATGTTTGATCTACCGGTCATGCTTATAAGGTTGTGAGTGAAGCGCAACTAATCAATCTCTATGCATAGCTAAAAACGACTAATAACGATGGATCTGAAGGAATATTAAACATTAGATACGCGTGCTGCTGGAAGTAGATTCGACAGGTTTACATAGTTAGTAAGACGCTGCACATCCAGAAAGACTTTGGACAGTCGCGTCGTCCTTCTGAGGGCTCGCTAGTTGTGCGCCTTCCATCGGCTCGGTGAGGGGCCAAGACCCAGGACCCCTTGCTTTTGAATTCGTGGCTAAACCCGCTGGGCAACAAGTGTGAGCGGCATCAGTGGTGACCAATATGGCTGTTCCTGAATCCAGCACGATGCAATCACATTACTTGTTTGGTTGGAAAGTGTTTGACTCGCTTCCCCCTGACTGTGTGGAACACTGATCGCTGAGATGTACACTGTCTGTTTTGCACATGTTAAGTATGAATAAACATCTTCGCTTAACGGTACTTTCGTAATACAACGTTGACAAATAGTATATGCGTGCTTCTCGTCCTCCACCGCCAGGTGCCTTTCTAACTCGCGAAAGATCGGGTAGGTCTTCCGATACACGATCTTTCCTACTGAACCGCCTGCTTAAATGGCATTATAATCCAACTTAGACAATTGACGACTAAACTAATAACCACCGCTTTTCGTTCCTTATCAGGTAGACGGAATGTACACAACTGATGAGTTTCGAAAGGATAGGACATGCGATTTGTGATTTTCTTAGTGTACAATAGTTGTGGTGAAGCTTCTTAGAACAAAAGCTGTCTTCCCCACTCTTATATTAACAAGTTTATGCGTTCCGAACGATTGTGTCTCGGGGTTCATATTCAGACATACTGGCCAACGGAAGGTCATGTTTCACCAATGCAGAAATGGCTTAACTTTCACTACATTACGTGCAAACGTAACTCAACCCGAAATTGGATACCTTTTGACTTTTTGTATTTTTGGGAATCAGATTAGTGGAGTAGTGGAAGCAGCAAAGTGATCAGAAAGAGTGAAGTTTTATAGCAAGCTTTCTTTGTCTTTCGCTGTCAGCATCGATGTTCGACAGGCTAGCCCAGGTCCCCGTTCCTATCCATTATTGGGATTAAAGACGTCCTGTTCAAAGCTCTGGAAGATTAAGCAATTTTGGCCTGGACTTTCCACCAGATAGCCGAGAAAGAAAGTACCTGACTTAGACCCTGTTGGTAACACGGCCTTACATCGCGGACAACCTGCAAAGTCTGCAAACCATTCTGAGCCGTTTGGCGATTGAGGCACCTAGGAACGGTGTGTGCTTTGTTTTCTTAGAAGTGTGAAATGCTGTTGCAAGGGGTGGCATATACCCGCTACCTCGCTCAATTTTGTTGCTACACAGCCTGCACAGATGGACTGGTTTTACCAAGAGACAGTGTTAGATGGTGGACTACTGGAAGGCAAGTTTCTCTCCACATTGCCATATCTCTGTCAGTGTTTGTCAAACTACGGCACTTGTGTCGTCTTAGTGGTACCTTCATCTCGATAAGTAATCGGGTTCACAGTTATTCCGTTTGAGTGGTGTTACTGTATAGATGCGAGCCAAGGCCGTTCGAGTGCATGGTATGCGCCGGTTCCCGGCCTTGAACCATGGGGGCTTGGAGGAGCTTGCTCATGTGCAATGGCAAAAATGTACCTGAAAAGATGGAAGTAAACTTCGGACTTAAGCAACATAACTACGGCTCGACATTGTCCGGTGTAAATCATCTGAACTGTTAATCTATCGTACCCTGTCCGCTCATGCAGGATTGCGTTGAAAGATACATCATGATGGACAGCCATTCACTTCGGTGACATTGTATAATAGTGATAGCCTCACTTCTAACCATCATGGTACCTTCACGTCTGCACAGTTATGAGCTCATAGCTAGTAATAATGCACAGTCGAAAGCAACGGAAGATTTGCGAACACAGCTGGCTGGATTCGTGTTTTTTGCATGCCATTCAACCATATGAAAAATAGAAAAGTAGGTCGGGGGAAATAATGGAAACGTGTTCTGTATCTAGCCTCATTTCGATGAGGCTGAACCTTACTGTGGTGTGATGGTTTGCGTGCATCAGCGATCCATTGAGCTATGCTGGGTGGTGCTTTTGCACCTTCAGAGCCACTCACACCCGATTGATCAATGGTTAGGGGCCAGAGAAACTCAGCCACTTGGCCCCCAGGTTGGGGGTTGGAATGAGGGTGGCTCCTTCTTCCTTAAAACAGGCTCCTTGTGACCCAATGCCAAACCCGCTGCCTTGTAGTCGGGTTTTGAACCAAAGGCTTTGGTTGAGAACCCTAATCGTTCTCCTCTCTAAGCCTGGGCAGCCTGACAGTATCCTGCCCACGCAGTACTATGAAGCTTTCCTCAAACAATTTTCTTAATCTCTGGCCACCGCAGAGGATAATCAACGGTGCGCTATCTGCTGCATCGAGCAGGGTGGGTAGGGGTTTGGATGCTACTGCTCAAGCCTTCCCGTCGTCTTATTCCTCCTCTTACGCTTTTTCACTCTTACCGTCCCGTTCCGACTTCACTTATATCCCCCAGTTTTCAACCCCCGATTCTTGGCCCTCCCCCAACATGCTTTGCTAGGCATTTATCATCTAATTTCAACTCACATGACAACGCGGAGCGTCACTCTTGCACTATCAACAAGACCATGCCCAATCAAACGGTCCATTCCAGTTCATCAGCTTGCATTTGTGGCCCTCGATCCTCATTCAGATTGGCATGCCTCAATATACGCACATTACTACAGATCGATCAACAGGCAGCACTTGCCCGAACATTAGAGACCCTCTCGATCGACATTTGCGGTCTATCGGAGACCCGACTACAAGTCCCGTGCTCTGTTCTCACTGCGACCTCCTTCAGAGGACACTAGCAGTGCTTTCTCATTGTACCTGTCCGGAGACGATGCAGCTTCGAGTACCGGCCAAGGCGGTATTGGTATTGCCCTGAGTCCCCGGGTTGAAGCTACTCTGGTTGACTCGATCTCAATCAGTAGCCAGA